TAGCCGTTGTCAGGCTGCGTTTAGGGGGGGAGCGTTTTGAGGTCGCGTGCTATAAGAACAAAGTGGTCAACTGGAGAGAAGGTGAGGACACGTGTATGGGTGTGACACTCAGTGCCTTAGATAACTTCTCGCATGGCGCAGAGCTCGTTGCGATTGTTGACCCCAGCTCTCACAAGCAAGTCGCCGCCGTGAATTAGCCAATCACTGGCTTGTTTGCACGTCACTTTGTGACTGCCTTACGCCTGTAGAGGCTTGCAGGCTCCCGGTTTGTTGGTTTGTTCACCGCTGTTCAATCTATCGTGCATTTGTGGCTTGTGTACACCCTTCTTCCGCAGGCAAAGAGACAGACTTGAACGAGGCAAGCTCATCTTCAGTCATGCAGACATAACGGCACCCTCCGCTGAATCGCCTGACATGCGCAGAGCCCGTAGGATAAAAGGAGCAGCTGCGGCGTAGAAACAAAATACGGCTGCTGTCAGTCTGTGTGCTGTCAGCATGGCATCATGGCGATAGCAGCTGCAGCAGAAGAGCCCGCCGCAGCAGGACTCCTTGGAGAAAGTCATAGACGCTGCAGTAGCTGCTGGTGTTGCATGCGCTGCTCTTAGTTTTCTTGCAGCTTAAGCTGTTGCTATGCTGGTGCGGCTCGATGCTCAGGTTCTGCAGGTGGACGCAGTTTTCCAAAATGTAGCAAAGGGAGAGCTAGCGCGAAAGGCGGAGTTACTTAGATATTTTGGGACGGATGACAAACGGGCCTGCATCTTGAGGATACTGGAGAAAGGTGGAGCAGCCCTTTCCCTTTTCGCTTTTTGTTTGGCTCACACTATGACCGAATCGGCCCCCCAGTGTTGTTAATCTAACCTGCTTCCTGTTTCGTCTGTATCTTTCTTTTTCTGTTGCCTGTTACTCGACGTACAACGAGGGAACACGAACAAGCAGCGTGAGAAGCAGGCAGACTGAAGTCGGTTATGCAGTGTGCTTCATCACTTTGCAATCGTCTTGCGTGGGGAACCTTCATTAAACCGATGCGTTCCGTCTCCGGGAAACGCTCGCATGTGCCTCTCGTGTGTGTGTGTGTGTGCTTGTTGCTTCCCTTGATGGTACTCCACACCCCGTGCGAGCGCCTGTTGAGTTTCTGCTTACAGCGTCAGGAAGCCACGTGCTTTACGTGTTGAGATTTGTCTTTCGTGTCTGTTCAGGGGATCTTCAGGTGTCGGAGCTGGAGCGGCGGCAGCAGCTTGAGTCGCTGTTTAATGATGTGGTTACTTGTGTCGTGGATTTGACGTACTCAGCTGTCACTGGACTGCCCATTTCTCGTTCAGCTGTCTCAGCAGCTCTGAAGAGCTTGGGATTTGGGGTGCGTCTACAACAGCCGGCGAAGGCCCAGGCACTGCATGCAGCGCTGCTGCTGCAACAGCACAATCCGAATCAGATACGCAGGCGTCTCATGAAGCTGAACATGCAGCTGCCGCTCCCTGCACCCACTGCTGCCTCTCCAGCTGCTGCAGCAGCTGCTGCTGCATCTATGCTGCACTTCATAGTGCGAGATTGCGCCGGCATCATAGAGACGCAGGAACCAAAAATCGACTTGCTGCTGCTACAACGACAGCAGGAAGACGACTCGGCAGCCACAACAGAGTCGGCACCAGCAGTGCCGTCAGAGTGGCGAATTGTGTTTCTGGTCCCTCCCGGAGTATACAGGGAGCTCGAAGAAAAGGCGCACGAAGCTGGAGGCTCCCTCACCGTTGTCACTTGGAATTGTCTGTACGACCCGCAGCAAGACCAGCACCTATTGCAGCAGCAGCGGCAGCAGCAGCAGCAACACCAGAAGATGCTTGAGCAGCTACAACAGCAGGAGGAAGAGGAGAAACAAGAAAAGGAGAGACGAGGCAAAGAACGCCAGAGACGGAGAGAGAAAGAAGAGCAGCGGCGACTAGTGCGTCGACTTCGACAGCAGCAGCAAGAAGAGGAACAGCAGCGACTGGACGAGCTCCGCGAAAGCCAGCTGATGATGCAGGAGCGCCAGCTGCAGCGAGGCCGCCTGCTTCGGCAGCAGCTTATGGAGCAGGAGTACATAGAGGAAGAGATGGCGCGATACCAGCTCAGCCAGCTGCGTATGCAAGAAGAGGAGGAGCAGCGTCAGTTTGAGAAAGAGCAGCAGGAGAAGCGCGAGAGAGATTTGCAGCTGTATGAGGCGCAGCAGATGCGTCTCGAGGATATCAGCCAGCGGAACCACGACCAGCAGAAACTGCAACAGCAGTCAGACACAGGATTTAAGGTAGAGTCGGCTTCGAATGCCAGAGATCATGATGGAGATGGGTGTCTAAGCACCTTAGACATTGTTGCTGCAGAAGACACTGGCAGCCGTATTGGTGACAGCAGCAACAGCAGCAGTTGCGAAAACGAACTTTGCTGCTGCTGTTGTGCTGAATGGGGTGATGACAACTGGAAAGACACCTGTACTCGAGCGCAGAGGAAGGGTCGTGGAGGGAGAAAACAACGCCAACAGCAGCAACAGTCTCAGCAACAGCCTGGAGTTTATGGAGGCTTCGTGGGAGTGCCTTGTTCCTTGCATGCGTCGACTTGCGTGCATCAGCGCGAGAGATTTTCTAAAGACATTGATGATGCCCCACGGCGAACGAAACAGCACCTTCGAAAGAGACAGCTGCAGCAGCAACGGAAGTTGCAAGAACAGAAACTGGAGTTGCAGAAGCAGCAAGAGCAAAAGCAGCAGCGTGAACAACCCGAGTTTGAAGACACTTTGACGCAAGACGGCCTCAGTTGGCTGCAAAGAGATGCGCAGCCTCTGCAGCAGCAGCATCGGGGACCTGAGCCAGCTGCTGGTGCTTGCTCTGTTAATCCTTCAGAGACCGCTCACCTACAGGAGCAGCAGAAAACGCGCGGTGGGGTTCAATGTCGCATCTGTAACGAGGCGCTTAAAGATGCAGCGGAGCTGCGCGTACACTGCAAGAGCAGCAGACACGCAGCGAACCTGAGGAGACAAGTAGACCGTCTCCCACCTCTCACCGACACACAATGGGCAGAGATGGAGCTAGATGGCCACCTCATAGGAGGGAGGCTATCGGAAGTCAGGGGGTTCTAAACTTGTAAAGATAGCGCGTAGTTGGAGTGGCTGGTGCAGTGATGCGCTGCGGCAATCGCCGCAGCTGCTCTGTACGTACTAACACAGACCTTCGGCAGAGGAGGCCGTTGAGTAGTGTCTGTTCAAGCTGCTGCTGTGGCTCTAGCTGCAGCAGCCTTTGTATTGAACAAAAATATGGACAGTTTAGCGAAGGATTAGGTCTTAGTCTTATGCTTGGCGCAGATGGCTGTACAAAATCATGCGAAAATCCTCTCCGGGCATCCACTTTTCGTGCGCGGCGTGAGGATGCAGACACTAAACCAACAAGTTTACTGGCTCTTTTATTTCAGCCCCTACACTAAGTGCACGTAAGATGTATGACTAATGGTACTTCGCGTTTGCGAGCTTTATGCTTCACAAGTTGCGATGAGGGGGTAAATGCTTGTGAAGACGTGTTGAAGTTGCCGCTGCAGTGTTGTTACATTCAGGGTTCCATTGGTACACTTCAGACACTTCAGTATTTCGATTTACACTTGAGAATGTACAGGGAGCAATAAAAAGCGCAGCGAGAATTTATTCGGAGGGCCTGTTGCGTGTACTGCAATGAGGTGTCCTGTGGCATTGTGCCCTAGCCGGCACGTGTCCGTTCGATAAACACAAAACATGCACTCCGGCCCTCGCAAAAAACTTGTTTCCCCAGACGACTCAGCAACAGCAGGTGGCGGGCTCCAAGATGAGCCAAGGGACCGCCACTAGCTTCGTTCGTAAGGCGTCCAAGGTTAACACGCAGCGGTATGGTTCGCTCACAAATTGCAAGCTTCCAGCACGAACTCAACAACTACAGTTAACGGGAACAAGACGTGCCAAGCTCCAGAGGACTGCCACTAGGTTGGTTTGTAAGTTGTCCTCTGTCAACATGCAGCGACGTAGCACCATCGATTTTGCAGTTGCTTAACTCGCTGCAGATCATGACCACCGGTACAAGGCCGAATGACGCGCGTGCACTTATGAGTACTCCAAAACGTGGCAGTGCCCCGCACAGCGCAATGTTTTAGCTCAGTCGAGGAGGATAAATGCGCTGCAAATGGGGCGATTGGCAATAAGGAGTCCGTGTACCAAAGATATTCTTACTCTCACACTCCAGCATCAGGAGAGGCACTCGCATTTAACATTGCTGCTCGCTACTACCGTCACTAAGCACAATTTTGATTGGCAATCGCCCCATTTGCAGCGCATGTATCCTCCACGACTGAGCTAAAACACTGCGCTGTGCACAAATTTTACTTAGCAGCTGTACTCGTTCATCCCTGCCATGACCATGCGTGCTATCCGCTGCTCCTGCTGGATGTAATGCTGTTGCCAACGCTGTCACTAACGCAAGGACTGTCACTTTTTGTAGGGTGCACCTAGACTCTACATTCCTTACTGCGCCCGCTGCAGTACGAAAATGCAGCGCATTCGCGCTAAATAAGCCCTGGAAGTGCCTGCTACGGTATCTGGAACCGCATAGCTAGCTGCCAAAAATACATCGACTCTACTTTCTACCCACGTTGCTACAAATCCTCAAACTTCCGATCGAAGAAGCTGAAGCAGCAACAAATGCAGATAGTGATGCCGGCACCGACAGCGCCAAACCGTTCCGAGAGCACGTTTGCCTATGCAAAAGCTCGACACACTGGCATAGAGAAAAACCTTTTAATCACATGCCAGAATCCAACAGACCATAACGCAAAAACGCAAAATTGGAATTCAGCTCGTTCACCGACACCCTGCAACACATTGGAAGCAACACGAAGTCCAGCTGTTTTTGTAGCAGCCGCGGTCACAGGACTTATTCGAGACTTCACTTAGATGGTAGTCGAGCGTGACGGCTCCGTGCATACTTATGCAGCACGAAAACAACTTGGTTACTTTTATACCTTCACTGCTCCTGGAGGTCTTCTGGCTCCGCCTTAACAGACAGATCTAAGGGCTCCCCCGTCATGTCTTCCCACCTGTAAACCCCCGAACCCGACAAAGACAGCTAGTCTAAATGAGCACGTAAGAACGCGGCTGGGACATTCAATACAGCAAGCTATGGGCGCGCCTCAAACTCAAGAAAGAAACGATAAAGGTCCTTCGGCGAAAATCTACCAGAATTTCGGCTCGATGAGCTGTCCTTCATGCCACTGTATCCATAATTAGAATTGCTCGTCGACAGCACCTTCGGATATCGGTGCCTCTGTCGCTTCTTGCTCACCGTGTGTTTGCGAGATTGCCTGTATATCAATTCTGAATGCTTGTACTCAACACCTCAGAATCTGCACAGTTCTATCTCGTTCTGAGGCCTGACTCTAACCTATCCCCTACATGTAATCCTCTGTACATCGTAATGTATGTACGTCTCTGCTGCCTTGAGCTTTATATCTTGATCCATTCTTCATACGGTTATTTCAGTTCTCTTCACGATTCACGCGTCACTTACATCCTAAGAACATCTTGCGTTGCCGACTCGAAGTGGGATGTGGCATCGAACGAGTTGGAAACAAAGATGTTGCTATCTCTGCCGTTGTCTGTACGCTCCAGCAGGTCGCTTACAGCCACAAACTTTTCTTCGATATTCCCCAAGAGCTTAAGCGCAGGAGCGAGCTCTGCAACCACAGCAAAATAAATCCAGTCTAGAACGATCGCGCAGCACTAACACTTTATGGAGCCTGACCACGGCAAAAGTTGCTGACTATGCTGCACACATAAAGGGGTGACCCAAAGATGCATGACCTTCCTCTCAAAATGCAGGCAGTGAGACCATCATCAAAGCAAATCAACACTAAAAGAAATGCTCTCAAACAACCCCCCACTTTTGTAGGTGCAAAGCTCCGATCTCTAGAATTGAAAACCTAAGACGTGCCTTTCTCCGGGTCATCCGTTTCAACTGTCGTGCTGACAATCGCAATGGTCTTTCCCTTCAAGCAAATTCCGTGAGGGCTAGAGACGACCATTATGTAGATGTCGTTGTGACGGTTTAGCTGCCTTTGAGGGATGATTATCTGGCAGCTGGTGCTGCCATTGGTAGAAGGGACGGGCGCTCCTAATATGCAAATGCACCTAATGACTCTGCCCGTACACTTAAGGCGTGACGGGAACTGCTCAGCAATATAAGATGGGTCACAAACCACCATTTTGCACCGAGCGACCTGCGCCACACACCAAAAATGCCCACGTAAGTTCACCTAAACTAGTTCTGCATCCAATGATGCCCTTGAAACTTTCTCCTTTTGGCGACCTCGCGTGATCTTATACATCCCTCAAACAGTGGTCCATTTAACCTAAGCTACACGAAGAAAGGGAAAACAAGGACGACTTCAGAACACTTTCTGCCAAGCTCTGAAGACACTTTGCAATGCGAGACTTAAGAGTGTTAACGTAAGCAATAAACCCTAAATTCTTGGCTTAATCCCTGAGTCGCACCTGGCCATCTTTCGTTTTAACTCCGCAGACTTTACCCTGTTCGTCAAGGACGAAGGAGTCCACTGGCGCATTCAACATGTAGGTCCCTCCGTTCACGGCGCAGAGGCGACTGAAGCCCTCAGGCAGACCACCAAGTCCGTAAACCGGATATATAAAAGGTGAACGCCCGTAGCGCGACACAGAATACATGTAGAGCTTAATCCGTTCCATCGTCTCCTGCATCGGCTGCTTCAGGTAGCTGCGGGAAAAGGAACATGCCGTACGACATTTGGCATGCAACATGATTAGCATCCACACCTAGACACTGGAAGACACGCGAAAACACAAGCATGACACGCCACCATAAAATACCGGAAAACAGCACACGACGACTTGCAACCATGCTGTGAAAGACGTCGAGACACGAACACACTCACACGCCTCCTGACCGATCCCTGAGCACGAAGACCCGTAGTCTAGACTAAGGGTTTCAAAGCCTTAGTGCATGCGGACTCATCGCAAGTGTAAAGTGCCACCGCGTGGCCGACGAAATCAATCGTGTTCGTCTCAAGTCCAAAGTACTTGTAGACCTGAGGCGCAATGACTAGCAAACTGCATCTGCTATTACAGATCCGATGCGTGCAACCACAAGCCACATTCTGTATGTGCTCACAAATTAACATGTTAGCGCGACGCGCTTCGCTAGTCCTCCCGGCAGTGCCTACCTGCTCCATCGAGTGCCTCTTCGGATCAAACCCCTTCCAAGTTTCGGGCTTGTCTGCCTGCCACTGTGCGCAATAGGCGAAGAAGGAGCGACAGCGGTTTTTTTCCAGCAAAGGCATCAGAGGAGACATGAGAGCTTCTGACTCTGTAGCGGGGACCTAAAGCCACGAAGTGCAAGACAGACTGTCAGATGCAATTTGTTATGAAGGACACATGTGCTAGCGTGCAGGAAAGTAGCAGTTCCACTCTAGCCTGCTACAGCCCGCTGCAATGCTGTGCCTCCTCTCGATGCAGCAACCACAGACAAAACAGCAGCAGCAACGGCACCTCCAGCAATTGCAGTTAGGCCAGTGAGATGACTGCAGCGTACTTTATGAATGTACTTTTCGCCTGAAAAGTAGCCGGCTTTCTGGTACTGATAAACGAAAGTCCCCTCCACCACCTGCCACTCTAAGTACCTGCAAGCAGCGCCAGCAGACATCGACCGGGCATGCGGGGAAAAATAACAGCACGAGAGTATGGAAGATCTGGAGCCAGAACGAAATATGCAAAAAGACTGATGCGAATAGGTACGAGGGACTATAGCAAATGTGAAAGGGGAAAATGGCACCTCGTAACCTTCGTCTTCAGCAGGATTTTCACGAGCTTTCCGCATGCCATTACAAACTTTGGAATCAAATCTACGTTCCATTCTCTGTTGGACCCATATTCAGGAGGAGGGGAAGTACCTGGACAGAAAATGCGAAAGAGACCAACGCCCAATAAAATGCATACAAACACACAATGTAACGGCAACAGGGGACAATCCACAGAGGCGGCTGCAGGAAGAAACAAACAGAAGCTCTTGCATCATCAATGGCCGTATCATCAGCCCGCGCCGTGTTACTTCACGACGGCAGATATCAACATGCACATAAAGCGCACGAATGTGCTTTGGCGATAGGGCATAAGGCCACCAAGCAGAAATAGGGTGACATTTTGCCTCGTGCCGTGCTGTATCAGGTAGGGGTCCCCACCTGGTTTGAATTTGTTGTAAAGATTTGTGAGGCTGAGAGATGCACACTCTCCTCCGTAGTAGTTGTTCCGGTCCAAATGCAGCACCTTCTTTCCAGCTGACGAGAGGAGGCCACTCAAGATACACTCCTTGAGACCAGTGCCGCAAACTACAACCTAAACAGAGAAGCCCAAGAAGTACACCCACACCCACTGCTTCACTCCAGGTTAAGGCTTTTCAATATGAAGCCAGAATGGCCCGCGCAGATCATGCAAATGTGAAAGAGATCGGATTGATGGAAAAGGGAGAGGAAGCGAGAATGCGGCTTGTATGACTGGCCCTCGTGTTAGAAACGCTCCTGCTGTGAAGGGTGGTGCTGTGTCGCAGCTGCCAGAGCACGAGATTGCAGTCACTGAAACATCTTCGGAAACGGGGCATGCAACGAAACACTCCATACCCGCAGGCAACTCCGACAATCAAACTGTAAGGTCCTTTTTACAAGACACCGGCAAACTGCCGCGCCTAGAGTTACTGCTGTTCCCACTACAATTGCTGTTTCTACCACAACATTACACAGTCAAGGCCTCTAGCTCTGTTAAGCCTCAACGGAGCATACAAACTTCTCCTCACGTCATATTCCTCATCCATTTTGGCTGTGTGGGAGGCAGGGGGGCAGAGCCGCTCTGTACAACTCAACGTCAGCTTTACTAACGTCCCCTTTGCATCAAAGTAAAAACAAATGAGCCCATGGCACTCTATTTTAACCGAGGTGATCAATGTAAGACGCCCGGCTACTGCTGGTTCGCATGGTAGCACCGCCAGAAGGGCTGACGCTGCTCCGGCCCGCTGCTGCTCGCCTTTGTAGGCGTTGAATGTCAACTACATAGCTAAGAACCTTTATTTCTTTGAAGTCGTGATGCTTTCTATTCACATTTCATGCTGCAGTTCGGCATCGAAGCGGTAAACTGTCCTGCTGTTCCTCTTGCTTCTCTTGCTCTACATTTCTTACCCAAATCACCACACGGTCAGTTGTTGTCCCTCTGCAGAGCATCTACCCCCTTGAAAACTTTCCTGGGGTCTTGGACGATGTTAATCTACTATTGTGTTCTGACCGTGCGCAGTGTATTGGTTCCCGTGAAGTGGGGGCGAGAATATACAACACACCTATGTTACCAGAGGCTGAAGTAGCGTAAATCATTGTTCACAGTCATCACGAAGTACACAGTACATACTCTATGCCGTACTGAAGCTGTCATTAGCGAGTTCCGCGAGGCCCTGAACAGATATTTAACACGGGGGAAACTGTGGGAGTAATCACGTGTCTTCCGCAAGGCGCAAGTCGCTGGCTTTCAACACAATGGTGCTCAAGAAGCAGACAACAAAAGACGGGCTGCCAACCTCACTTTCCTCCCAGAAGGGGTGCCAAAGAGCCCGCCGCGCCTCCGTGTACCAAGATGTGCCGAGTACGCTACCCAAAACATTGAGTATGCCTTCAGCGCATGTTGGGAGGTGTATGTGGTTGTTGCAGTGGCCTGTTTTTTTGGGTGAACAACTCCAATGCTCCTCATCTGGATTCAGGCTCAGCAAGAGCGGCACTGCTTCATGCGACTGCTCTGCGATAAAGCCCGACCACCGACCAACACTGGCACCGGGAGTGCAAGCATTTGGAACAATTTAGGGTTCCCTTTAATTTGCATATTGTTGGATCGCCTTGTCTCTTCCCTGTTTTCAAGGCAGAGTCAGCGTGCTCCCAGCTCCTCACGAAATTAGGCACCTATATAAGGCAACTCCAGCAACTTCTTGCATTGCACACACTGTCGTTGTGCAATACATTCAAAAGCTATATTTACTGAAAGTTTATACCCGCTGCAGTTTTTTCAAGGCCGCTGTCCCCACTGTTAGTAATCTTTCATGCTGAAAAATCTAAGCAAACGGAACTGCAAAGGCCATTAAATATTTATCCTGTTACTCATGGCGGCGCATTGGGTTAACTGCTTACTAAAGTGAGCATTCTGCTTCACTTAAAGGTTTTCAAGTTGACTTTTGTGAAGATTTGGTATTAAACTGAGAGAAAGCTATGTTGTGTCCAGCTGAGCTGCGACAGATTTAGGAAAACTGGCGGCCTGGGCATAGAAGCAAAAAGTACGAAGTAGAGTGAATATTGCTACCTGGAAAGCTGAAACAGTTTCCATGATTGAAGATTTGGGACATCAAACGGCGTTTATTACCTGCAGCTTATTCCGGTAGCAAAAGTGCTGTATGGCGTTTTCCTACTATTGCAAACGTATTCGTTAGGCTGAGCAGCATACGAACATTCTTCTTAAAGAAAATGAAGAAAAGGTTTCAGCGTACGGGGCAGACGACGCTGAGGCTGCTTTCCCGTATGCTCTGGGACACTTTAAGCTTGCGGCTATGTCACACACAAACAGATTACCTGCTTGCTGAGTAACTTGGTAGAGGAACAATTCCACGCGCTTGTGCGGCGCTGATTCGTGAGCATAGCCTGAATGAAAACGTGCTGTGAGTGGAAGCGCTGCTAACCAAATTGCACGGTGAATGTATGCATACTGCGCTCAGCTAATGTTGAGTTGCTCTAGACAAATTTGATCATACGGGTTATGCTGTGAGCGCTAATCAAATGAATACCATCCTTTCAGGTTTGGAATGTGTTAGAATTTGGCGGGAAGCAATGGAAAATAAGACTGGCTTTCGACAGGTCCCCAGGGCCATGAGTTTCGGAGTGATCCTAGAACGATCACGGCACAGCCTTTGACCTGTTTTGCGGGAAATATTGTGAAATGCAGGCAATATCTTTCCTCAACAAGCTCTAGCAGCACGAGATCTCAAACATGGGGTTAGCACGTACAATGCATCGTAATCCCATGCCCAAACACAATTTGTTGGTTGCAGAGTTGGGCATCGGCTGAGGTTGCTGGTGCTGTGCTGAAACAGAAGAAAAAGCCGCTGTCTTCTTCAACTCGAATATGAAACGTGCAGAAAGAAGCTGTTTACTTATGAGTATGTTACGCTAGCCATCTTTTGAGATTTTCTGTAGTGCACAGCGCCTACTGCTGCGACTACGCTGCTACTTGCCCCTCGAGCAGGGCCTACAAACGGCACCTAACGTTGGCCCATTTCCTTGAAACAGTAGCTTATGTACATCGAAATACAGTTATTCTTAACTTTCCAAAATCTGTTGTTGTTCGAGTCGTCCCACTTGGGGTGCTCGCCTCCTAGGCCCTGTGGGGAGGAGGCCTGCTGTAGTGCGCGGTGCCTACTGCTGCGACTACGCTGCTACCTGCCCCTCGAGCAGGCCTACAAACTACGCCTAGCGTAGCCACATTTCTCGGACACTATAGCTTTATTCCATCGAAATACAACAGTTCTTAAGTGTTTCAAATCTGTCTGTTCGATTCGCCCCACTCTGGGAGCTCGCCTCGTAGGCCCTATGGGGAGGAGGCCCGCACTGGTGCCGGCGCTATCACCAGCCCCAGTCTCCACACAATTTCCACACATTTTACGTATTCATTTGAACTAATAGACAGCTTTTCTTAATTCTTTCCTATTAGGAGGGTCCTGTCCTCCTCCAGTGTTGCGACCCCTTGTAGGTCGCTAGCTAGCTATCATCTCTCGGACACTAGCCAGCCCCATTGTAGTGCCTGTGCACTACAAATTCCCCCCTTGCCGGACTGAAGAGACCTACCCCCAGAACACATTACTTTTGCCTTTTTCAATATCTGTGCTCTTCTAAAGCTGACGTCGTGAGCGCACGCGGTGCGCAGCGCTCCCTCACCCCTCCTCATTGAGGGGTGCCCTTGCTGTAGGCGGTGGAATGTGACGGACCCATACCTCTAAGCCTCGGAAGGACCAATGTTGTTTCGAGCCTGAAGACGTCTTCATTGGCGGCGTCGCCAAGCGAGAAGCAAAGCCGGGCAGCTAGTAAGGTGATGAGCTGGCTCCCATGTAGCTTGATCTTCAGGGGTCCCGCGCCACTTCACGAGGTACTGGGCTGCATCTCCCGAGCCGCGTTGGTCCATAATATAGTCGACTTCGTATTCCTCTGTGGGATTGACTGCTGCATCGTGGATAGGAGGCCAGGCAGCGTCGGCTGCCGAGGGAGCCAAAGCGGGAGGGCGGGGGCGGTGGGGAACTAGCTGCGAAACGTGGAAAACGTCATGGCATTCATTAGTGGGAGGCAGAGCGAGACGGTAAGCGACAGTTCCTATGCGTTTGATGACTTCGAAGGGTCCGCGGTAACGGGGCTTGAACTTAGGGCAGCTGTTGAAAGGCGGTAGGTGCTTGCTGCTGAGCCAGACCTTGTCTCCCACCGCATACTCCACTGTTCAGCGCTTTGTGTCTGCGTAGTACTTCTGCTGCCATTTTGCCTCCAGGATGTGACTCTGTGCTCTGTCGCAGAGCTGCCGGAAAAGCTTAGTCATCGGAGGAGTGAGCGTAGGAGCTAACGCGCCTACGATATCAAGGTCCGCAGCAGTCAACAGGTTCTCTCCAATCATGACCTCGAAAGGAGAGAGCTCAGTGGATGAATGACTTGTGGTGTTGTAGGCAAGTTCCAGGGCCGGAAGCAAACGCTCCCACTCGCGTTCGTCAGATTTGATATAGGTACGAAGCATCTGCTCTAGTGTGCGGTTAACCCGTTCAGTTTGGCCGTCTCTTTGGGGATGGTAGGACGAGGACATGCACCGTTTGATGTTAAAGCGGCGACAGAGCTGGTTCCAAAGATCCGACTGGAAACGGGGGTCGCGGTCCGATATGAGCGCCTCTGGAAAACCGTGATAGCGGATAAGGGGGTCTGCGAAAAGCTCCACGGTGTCTGCTGCTGTGAATGACTTCTTCGCAGGAACGAAATGAGCCATCTTGCTGAGGGAGTCGACCATGACAAGAATCGAGTCGTGCCCTGTCGTTGTAAGGGGAAGATGTGCGACAAAGTCGAGACTCACGTGCGCCCATCGACGAGAAGGGATGAGCAACTGTTGAAGAAGGCCTGCAGGCTTCTGGTTAATGGACTTTGAAGCGCGACAGTG